TAATGTTGTTTAGATAATGTGCATTAAATCTAGTGCCTTCATTGTGAGGTAACAGAAAATGCACATTAGCTTATTTTAATGTGCATTAGCTAAAGAGCATGATTTTTTGTGATGCTTTAATGCGCATTAAAATAGGCTAATGCACATTAAAGCGCATGTGTAGATGTGCCCTGAGGTTTATGGATAGGGCATAAACAACGGCACAGGCACATAAACAAGCTCCTGAGGGGTAAATAAAAGCCAGGATTTACTGCTGGTGTGAATAGTCTAATCCTATAGTAATGCCGTCTGCTACTGAGGGCTTATAAGAAAGCTGCTGTTGGTTAGCTTTCACTTACCACAAGGTTAAAACATGCACATAGGCAGGCAGCTAATGTGCTGTAAATCCCTGCTCTTAGTTACCTCATGGCAAACTTGTCTGCATGCCCACACCCCTAAAGTTAAGAGACCATCTTTAGCAACTTTACAGTCTTATACACTGATCTGAAGCTTTTGCACACAAACACTACCAAAGCCCCCAGAAAATTCCTGACCAACTCTAGCTGAGATGCATACAGTAACTTCTGTATTTTAAAGGGCTAACTGAAACCCTTAGGTAAGAAACTCCAGGCCCTGCAGTAGCTGGGACTATTATGAAATTGTTCGCCATCTTGAGATTCCTATATTGTCTAGGCACAATGCTAGATGCAGGATTTCAAGGGCACATTTTAATTGTAGACTACATAAATTCAAATAAAAGAGGTGTGACACTGGCTTGCTTTAGGATCTGACTGTCCTTTGAGCAAGTTTCAGGTATACTTTCTTTTAGCAGTTTTAATCCCCAGAGTGCATCAACATTGATATCACAGATGTAAGCATCTCTAGTTCGTAGAACATGAGTACTACTGGACTAGAAGCTGACATGGACTACAGCAGGGGTGGGCAAAACGGAGGATCCAGCCCACAGCCAGACTCCATTTCCAAGCAGCTCCCGTCCACGTGGTGGTTCCCGGCCAGTCTCCGTGGAGACCATGGGATCACAGGGCTGTGAGAGCATGGGGCCACAGAACCAGGGCTCTACCTCAGCCTCAGCCTCACACTGTCATGGCCCTATAATCACGGGGTCTCTGTGGAGACCAGCTGGGAGCTGCACGGGCAGGGCACATGGCTGAGCAGGGAGCTGCTCTGGGGCTGGGGCCAGGATCTTGGGGGTAATGACAGCACAGGGCCTGGGCTGGGGTAGAGCCAAGATCCATTCTCTGCACACACCGGCTCTCAGAACCCACGCTCGTTGCAGAGGCACGAAGGCAGTGGATCATGGCTCTGCCCTGGCCTTGGCCCCAACCCTGTGCTGTTACCTGCCCAAGATCCCGGGGTCTCTCTGGCCCCACCCAAACATCTTGCTCCTGGCTGCAGCCCCATCCCAATTGCCCGGCCACATACCCATCCCATGTGGGTCCTATCCCTAGCGCTGGGTGTGGGGTGGCTGGGCTAGGGTGCCTAGGCAGAAAGGCTGGGGCTGGGAGTTGGAGCCAGAAGAAGCCACCACCACAGAGGCTGCTGGGAAATGGAGTCTGCCATGGGTCAGATCCAGCCTGCAGGCTGGATTTTGCTCACCTCTGGACTACATTGTGGAAGGGAAAGTCAAATGCCTCTAGTTGCTAGGAAAGAACCTATTAGCATAGCAATATACAGAATGCAGTAACAATTAGATTTTGAAGATTTAACAAAACAAAGAACTTAAATCTTACTTTAAAAGAACAACTGTACATAAACCTGTTAGATTTTTAAAACATAACGTTTCTTAAAAACAGTGTGCGAGAAGAGCTCAGTCTGTTTTATACAATCTTTGATTGATCTTCCAGGTTTGAGAGAGAGAGAGAGAGAGAGAGAGAGATTTTTTCATTTCTGTCAGTATTCTCTTGGGTACCAATGCAGGAAAATGTGGCCATATGCATCTCAGCTGATTATTCTGACCTATTACCTCACTGCTACATGATGATATTAGAGGTCCCAAAATGGAATTTCCTTCTTGTCAACAGACGTGCAGTGCAACCACGGCAACACAGCTAAGGGAAGAACAGTTCTTACCTTACCCAAATTCATCTTTTAACTCTGCATACAGCAGAAAGAAAATATTTGCAAATGATGGGTCCAAACCTGCCAAGCTTCTCGCAAATAATAATTTAATTAAGGGACACTCCTGAGACTTTGTAGGACCAGATCCAAAGATTGCAAATACTGTATTAAAAAAAACACAACAAATTATGATTTGTTCATCTATTAACAACTCAGTGGCTTCTGACCAGAGATTAAAATGTAGTTCATTGTCCTAAACCTTCAGATCCATCAAATCTTTGGTCTAGAAGCCTGTTCACACTCTCCTCTGGATAAGCAGATTCATGAGGACAACAAGAAATTCTTAAAAAAAAGATATCAATACATTTCGATGTGAAGGTTTAGTCTTGGATTTGTTGTATAATGATCCCAGTCAAACACTGCTGGGGGCCTGTTTATCATACTGAAGGTAAAAAACATTATTTAAACATTGCATTCCACCTAAATAAGTTTTGAGAACTTTGTTTTAATCTGACTCATCATGCTAGGAAAACTCAAGCATACTCCTGGCTGATGCCCATATAGCTGAAACATGATGAAGTAGCAAGGAAAGTAGACTGCAAAGCAGCAATCTTGAAGCAAATAGAATGAAGCTAATGCACCAACTTCTTGGAAGTCAATACCCTACAAGCAACATATTAAGGGCCCTGGTACACATTCATTTAATGGCACAATGGAATCTGATCCCAGATCCCAAGTCACAATGTGGAATATCTTTGTCACTAACTTGATATATTATCATGCCATAAATCGGTTTTGATGAGTGGCCAGATTACATTTAAGATGCAATGAAAGTCTTAATTGCACCATAAATAGTAATATGTGCCAGAGCCTAACAACACACACAAAACATTGGAATAAGAGGTGATTCAGTTACATACACTTCTTACATGGAGCAGCAGTTATTTCACTGTTTAGCTGGATCTGGATTATTACTCAAACACAAACACTCATGTTCATTTGAATGCATTGTCACTTGAGGAGTAACAATCTTTGCCATAGGCAGTGGTTCACAATCCTTTTAGACTTCAGATTCCCCTCTGGAGACTCAAGGCCATACTTGGAAAATGCCAGCTCTTAGTTTTCACTTTTTGACTACAGAAAAATACAGAGTAAGTTTTCTTACAAAGAACTCAGAAAGACCACAACTATGGATTTCTATTTGAAATCTCAGGGTTTGTCTTGTGAATTATGTTTGCAAATCTAACAGTGCTAACACTGAGTGGCACCCTGCAGCACCCTTGGAAGGCATCCTGGTTGAGAATCATTGCCATGGGGCAGCACAGCTTCATGTTGCATCTGCAACACTGCCTAAATCCTTCGGTTAAAAAAAGCCTGAAGTCATCAGAAAGACTATAAAGTTTACGTGAATGCTATTATATGAGATCATGAGCAAAGAGCTATCCCAGAAAGTGGCTAAGAATACAAGAAAGTAATAAGGAACTGCCATATCTGAAAGGATCTGCACTTTACAAGTTCTCATTCTTATTATATACAAGCATGGAAAGGCAGCATACCCCAGTACTTCCACACAACTTAAATGTTTTCAATATAAATATACCAAGCTGAAACAGATCTAAATTCCTGCTCACAAATATATATCTTACCCATCTTGATGATGTTTTATTTTCATTTGGTATGGAAATGTAATTTAAGACCCTGGTGCATATTAACACCAATATTTATTAATCCTTTGAGTTTACAGTGGTTTACTATCCAATGTATTTTTTTCCTAATAAAAAAGACATGTCTGAAGATAACTACTGTTAGATAACTCAAATGCACGGTGTAAATTCACATATTGCCTTGGAAACTACCAATTTGCAGACAAATTATCCTGATAAGTGTGCTAAATTCCCTTAAAATTTCAGGATAATAACTAATTTCAGAAACTGGACCTAAAACATAAGTTCCTCCCTAATGATCCTTTTGCCAATAAAATCCTCTTCTCAGACTGAAGTCAATTTAGAAGGAAAAAGCAAGGGCCTTGTCATAACGTATTTACTATGCCATTCAATTTAAAGAACAGAGGCACTCTTAGACGCTTTCATGCTAGATTCTGGTAGGTCTCATGGGAGCAGTTAAAACTCACCCAACCTGCGCAGCACCTCACTGTAAAATGCAAACATTTCCTGTCTTTGACACCTAAACGCATGGCATGCATTTTGTGGATTATACCTTTTGAACTATGAAGCAACTGCCTTATTTTGAAGTTTTATCCCCTTACCCCAATAATTTCATTTCAGATGATCTTAAGATGCTTTCCAACAGCTTGCCCTTCCTCCTAGACTGGGGTCCGCAACCTTTCAGTACCCGCATTCCAAATTGGCACAGTCAGGTCCTATAGTGGGCTGCTGCTATCAATTGCCATTGATTCTCCCCACCACTGCTGCCACTTTGGCTTGTCCAACTGGATAAAAATCTCTCCATTGGTGGGTTGTAGTTTGCCAACTCCTGTCCTAAACTATTTCTATACCTGCACCAGCAGCTGCAAACATAAAACAGACTGGTTTCATCATAATCCTATGAAAGGGGTTTTTCAGTCTTGAACACATCAGTTTTCCCTTCTCTGTTTCAGGAGATGGACGCTATCATTTATCTGGGTTAGAAGAGGTAGGGTCCCCTCATTTGTTTTTGCATCATTAAAACTCCCAGTAAGATTACTTTACTCTCTTTTTGTTTTTATTCCCTTGTTCCCCCTCCCCCAAATTGGTCTTTTTGAAACTCTAATTTCCTTTTGCTGGAAGTACAGCAAAGAAAAAAAAAGACTGTATGCATTAAATGCCTACATAAATGATGTCTGTTTGCACCACGTCAGTGAAGTTAATTAACTAAAGACATATGGCTAAGGAAAGATTGCCAAAAAAGAACAAGCACTGAATGAATAGGTTGGATTTGCTTACCTTCCTTTTTTCTTCATCTGCTGGATCAAATTTGAAAATAGCTTTATTCTGAAGAAAGAAAGAAGTTTTAATTTGTAGCACATCAACGTTTGTTTCCAGTTAAATGTAAAGTGCTGCTCTAATTAGAACTAATTTTTAACAGTTATCATGGTCCAAAGGAATCTCATAAATCATAGAGTCTTACTGTTGGATGCAACAGATAAACTATGGTAAATATGCATCGCATTTAACTATGGTAAATACGCCTTTCATATGCATCTTGCCATTGTTTCTCTATAGCTGTAAAAGCAGCCTAGAGCCACATGCTACCTATTCTCATATTGCCTCCCTCTGTGGCCTTAGCTATCTAATTTAGGACCAGTCTTATCTTGTTGAAATCTGTGATCACTGTATTTAAAGGAAGCTGAATTCACACCATGACAAGATCTTTTGAATTCCCTAGGTTTAACATGGGAATAATATAAACTTGTCACCTCGCCGGTATGAGAAATATTAGTTGAATCTGTAAAGCCCAAGACTATCAAGTTGGCCATGCTTTTTCTCTAGATGGCATCTTGTTTGTGGGTTGTGAAGCCCTCTTTAAACTGACTGCCCTAGTTTTAGGTTATTTTAAACTCATACAGCACTTGCTGAATCAAACCAAGATGAGCAGAAAACCTACTGACATTTCTCCAGTTTCAAGTTTTTACTCACTGTCTAAACGCATTACTGTTTTTTTTGTTTTTAGGGGGGAGAATGGCAGGGGGAAAGGGGTTATAATTACATGCCAGGTGTATGGCCCTAAGAACACTTCAGCTGAAGAACCTGAGCCAGCAACAGGAGTTGATTTCTATTTTTAAATATTCTACGCTGTATTAATAAGGCAGTGCTCAAGTGGCACACAACTCTTCATTGTGCAAGTCAAAACTAAATATTTTAATAGGCCTTTGTCTTTAGAAATACTAAGATAGATGAAAAGTAATAGCATACAAGACTCCTGCTAGATGGGTACAAACTCTATATTAGCCCTTTCCTTAATAAGACTTGCTACTACCTTTCATAAATTGAGGACCTATCTCTGGGCCATCTACTTGTATAACATAAACCATAATGTCTAAGCTGGCAAAAACTGCCTAAGTAACATGTGACCAGCAGTTACCAGTGTCCATCTATATGGGTAAGGACAGATCAAATAAAGCCACACTGTTCACCATGATCTTTTTACTCCCTTCACTCTAGAGCTCCCCAGAAATGTCCACCAAAGAGCATCCTTTGCACAGCTGCAGTAGCTGTTTTTAACTACACCTAACACTCACAAAGCTTCTAGACGTGATAGAACAGAATTTAGTACAGTATAACCTCATAAATCTGGCATGCTCAGGACTGAGCACCTGCTGGAAATCTGAAAATTCTGGATTTTTGAAACTGGAGCGGCGGCCAGTCCTGGAGTAGGGGCCACACACGGAGTGGCAGCGCGGGGTGGTGGATGGCAGCGGCAGCTGCTGTATGCAAGTTTCTCCCTCTGCTGCTCCGGGACCGGCCACTGCTACTCCTCAATGTGGTGTATTTTCAAAAAGTGCTGGATTTTCGAGATGTACAGATTTTTGATATCCGGATTTATGAGGTTATACCATATGCAGATCTGGTTCACTATTAAAAGGGGAACCTCTGTTAAGAGTAAGGGAATCTCTGAATAGAAGCCAAAGGGAAGGGAAGCTGGGGGGGATGGAGGGGGGAGAAAGAAGGGATCCCTGGACATAGGTGCATCTTTTAACTGACATACGTATATTGCTGGCAGATAAAAGGAGAGTAAGGAAACATTTACTGGGGATAAGGTTTGACCTTCACTGAAATAACTTCTTTGTAGTCATGCTGCAATCACTTAGGGGGGTCCACAGGGCACAGTGCTGCACCGTGCAGAGGTGCCCACAGAAGTTCTGCGTGCATCCACTTCATTATCAGAAACAGTATGACCTCCCCTGTGAGGTATTTTATGCAGACTAATTAGTCCTGCTTTGTGCTTGTAGACAAACCCATAATACTCAGAGTTGAAAAAACAGAACTTATCCTGTTTTGTTATGAAATGCGGGGTTTTCTGGTGGTTTTAGAGTTTGCATTTTTTACATTTTATTTTAGCATTTGTCAAGTAGTCTAGGATAAGAGATGCTTATCTATTTTATAAATAATATTTTATATTTTTTATACTAGATTTATAAATCTGTCAGTTTGTAATGGCACCAAGATGCCATGCTGTTTTCTGCTTATGGTTTATCATGCCACAGAAATGAAATTCAGGAAACACTACAGACAAGATTTTTCCCAGAGACCACAAAAGGTATAGGCTGCGCCTGACTGAGAAAATATTACAAAAAGAAAAGTCATTCTTTGCCCAGTCAGTAACCTAAAAGCACTGCTAGACCACAGATTAGTCAGCTCCAAAGCTGAAGGTGCACCCCCTCCACCTCCCAGAAAATGGCCTGCAATTATCCCAACCCACAGACTTAAATGTATTAAGAGGTGAGCAAGAAGGTTTGAAAGACCTCTCTTCAAGCACCACTGGTATCCCCAGCCTCTCCAAACTAATCAGCAGTGAAAGGATCTTCATCGTCATCAGATTTCAGATTTAATTCCCCTCTCAAAAAACCCACACTGAGACACTTCCAGCAACTCTCAGAATTAGGAAGATACTCAGGCACCAGTTCTTATTCATAAGATTTTCCTCCAGGTTACAGGATTTGCAGAGTTAGTTAATAGTCCCTATAAGGTCATCAGAAGAGCTCGTGTATGGATACAAGCCAATACCAGTTGAGTCTGAATCCTGACCTTAATCCACGTTGAACTGCTGCAACAGCACTAATGGGAAGAGGTGGCATTTTAAAGAGGCAGCACTCAAATCTGATAGAGTGTTACAATTATGCCTTTTATTACAACCAAACCCAGGTAACCCATTAAGAGAGTGTTTATTTTGAAGGACATGTACAACAGCATTTCTGTACCTGACACAAGGCACTGGGCTGCTTTCTAGGTCAAGTTATCTTCCCAAGGCTATAAGCAAATAATCTGGGTGACAAAGTCCACACTGGGCAGAAAATGTATGCAATCATCTGGCCCAGGAGATGAAAATCTGACCTTTCAGCTCCAGGGAACACAAAAACATTCCCAAAACTGATGATCAGATATGGGCATACCTGAGTTATAACAGGGACTCGTATCTCCCTCTGCCACAACCACTCAAGGCAAAACCACTTAGCATCCTAAATTTCTGCTAGGTTTCTCACTGAAACTCCTATCCTGGCCAGATACATAGGAAAACTGAGTAAGCTCTATAACACTTGTATGCGAATAGTCACAGGACAAATGATCTTAGGAGTCCTTCAATGGCCCCTTCCACACAGGCCAAGTAGGATGGCGACAGAACAGCACCCCTAGCAGGAAGCATTTCAAAGGGAACATAGGATAAGCAGTCACCCAGTATCACCATGTTTGGGGTCAGGCAGAAATTTTACCCCATAGTCCAACTGGTCTGGACTAGAGGGATTTTGCCTTCCTCTGTGGCAGGGGAATGTGGCCCTCTACCCAGGATCGCTTGAGCTAATACTGACATCCTTTTATAGAAGCAGGATGTTGGCTACCATGGTTCCCCTGCTCTACCTCTGGCAGGTGAGGGTGTGAAGCATGTGTTGTGTTTGACAGCTGTCTTACGTACAGGTTAGATTAGGGATTGGATAGCACGGTTTGGAGAGGGACGGTCCAGCCTCAGGGCGGGGGTGGGACTAGATGACCTGTGGTCCCTTCTCTAGGACTCAATGATCACCACCAGAAATGAAGGAAAGGACTGCTAACATGTGACCCCAGCCGGCACCCCCACCCTCCCCCCATCACCTAGGATCTGTAGTCAACAAAAACAGAGTCACTTCCACCACAGAGTGACTGCACAGCTGAACAACCCCCCAGCCAGCATTTTTATTCCCGAGCAGAGCAGCTACTCTGAGCAGCGCAAGCAAAATTTCCAGGAAGGTCGATATTATTCACAGAGCATCAACGCAGTGCCGTGGGCCTTTGCAACCACGGTGGAGGCGGGCAAACCTCCAGGAAGAGACGCCTGGCAGTGGCAGGGGCTCTACTTGTGCTACTAGATCAGGGGGCCCCGACAAGCCAGGCAGGTCCGCGACGCCCACGGTGGGGGCATGTTTCCTAGGCAGGCGGCACAGCTGGTGCACCTTTCCGTGGCACCACACGCGGCTTCAGCGCGGGGATCTGGGCAGGACCCAGCAAGGGCCGCACGCGCAGTTGGGGGGCGGCTTCCGGGCGAGGCAGCCGGGGCTGTTTCAGGGAGGCGCGCGCAGGAGGGGGCTTAGGAAGCGCAGGGGCCCCCGCCAGCGCAGGCAAAGGCTCAGGCGCAGCTGCAGCGAGGGGCAGGGGCCCCAGGTGCCGGGGGGACCGCGGGGGGGGGGGGGCGCCGGCCGCGCCGC